TCGATCCCGGCGCCCTCTCGTCGGCCGCAAAGTCGGACTGACCTCGTCAGCGCCCCTTGCAACACCCGAAACCCCCTCGCCACGCTCGTCCCAACGCCCATCATGAGGGAAGTCAACTTCAGCATCCCGAATGTCAACAAGGCATCGGTCGGCATCACTACTGCCCTGTACGACCGCAGGGCCCTAGACTGCACTTCGACTCTTCCCCTGATCAATTCACTGAACCACCTCGCCTACCTCACAACCTCGTCTGCCCGCATCCGAGACATCTTGACCGTCGATGGCGGCATCGAGCGACTCGTCTGCATCCTGAAAAGGGGTCGCAGCAAAGACATGATGGACATGTGGAAGTGGAACCTCGCCTTCCAGTGTGTCGTCAACATTGGTGTCCGTGGCACTGAAAACGTCCGCACCCGTGTCGTCGAAGCCGACATGGTGCCCGTCATCGCTACAATCCTCGACAACTACATCAAGGTCATCGAGAAGTGCAGAGAAAAGGCCGAGGAAGCGAAAGACAAGGAGAAGGAACATTCGCGCCACAGAAGCCACGACCACCGCTCGTCATCCAAGTCGACATCCTTCACAAACCGCCCAGGTCGCCTGGACGCCGACCACAGAACATTCAGGAGACAGGCGCCCCCTCCTTCCATCGACGTCTCCGCCACATATGCTGGTTCATCAACCGCTGCCGTAGAACCGAGCACATTGGACTCTACGCTCCGCAATGCCGACATTCAGACGCCCACTCTTGCCGATCGGACATCTCTGGCTGCCCACAGGTCTCACCACCACCACCACCATCATCACCACCATCAACAACACCAGTACAGGGCGGGCGAGTCAATGGCGTCGCTGGCTTCACCCTCGCGCCAGACCGTCCAGCCGCTTGTCACGGCCATGCCCGCCACCGCAGATACCGCCGATGGCTTCGTGCGACCCGTCCGTGATGCCGATCGTCTTGCCTCGATGGCTCCCTTCGGCCCCGGCACCATCCTTTCGCAGCCAACATCTCCCACAACCCCATTGCCGCCTCCTCAGTCCCGGTCTCCCACGCTGCGTCCGACCTCGATGCTGGGACCCAACGGCCGTGCGCGCCGCAGACCCTCGATCCGACACCAGAACTCCACAGTAGACTCTGACGACCTGGTCGAGAACGACCCTCAGTCTGATGAATCGCCCGATGCCGAAATGTCAGGCACGGCAGAGGCTGCCGTCAATATTCAGGATATCACCATGGATGAGGGTGAAAGCATCCTGGCCGGTGCTGCTGCCATGGACCTTCCCGCCCCTACTGTTTCCGAAACCCAGGATACGGGAGCGTTCAACATCACTCACCGTGGCCCGGTTGATGGTAGCATTGCCAACACCGCCAACACGACGGCGGTGCCACCAATCGGGCTCTCACCGCACCGGCCCGCCATGGTTTCCCCCCCTCAGCCCTCCATGCCCAACGCCAGCGTACCTCGCTACCTCTTGGACCGCCCCTTTGTTCCCAACGCCCAGATCCTTGCCGCCATGCCTCGTGAGGAGGACGTCCTCATGTCGCTGCAGCTCCTGGCTTACGTTTCCAAATACTGTGGTCTCCGATCCTACTTCCAAAAGAGCCACCTCGTCCCGAGACTAAAGGTCGGCAAGCAGATCCGGTACCTGGACGGAGATGAATCCGCGCTTGATTCGCCAGATGAGGAGAAGCTCGAGGAGGAGTTCCTGCTGCCGAACGACTTCAACATCTTCCCTCTGGTCGAGAAATTCACTGTCCGTCACCACAGCCAAGACATGCAATACTGGGCAGGCGTCGTCATGAGGAACCTCTGCCGCAAGGACGACACCCGCGGGGGCATTCGCCAGTGCGCATACTACCAGTGCGGCAAGTGGGAAGAATTCACTCGGCAATTTGCAAAGTGCCGCCGGTGCCGCCGCACCAAGTACTGCAGCAAGGAGTGCCAGAAGAGCGCCTGGGCGTTCCATCGTCACTGGTGCGTGGCGGCCTCTTCATGAAGCCTGGCTGCCGTTGTCGGCAGACGGCCATCGGCTTTCTGAGGCCCGTGTGACGCGCGCCAAAACACAAAGGAGCTCCAGAGCTTCCCATCGTCGGTCTCCGTCACAAGGCCATGATTGCATTGCACAGCATCGTGTGTTCTCATCTGCAAGGCGTTTTTCGATACCAAGGGTCTTTCCGTTTCCAGCATAAGCATGATGTCATGGGCTCCGGCCGTGACCTCTCACGCATTCGAGCAGACTGCGATTCTGCTACGCTATACCAATTTGCTTCGGTCTCCAAGCCAGGCGTGGGGTCGCCCCCCGTCCTCGGAAGGGACGTATTTCACCGCAATGTGTGGCACACATCACCCGTTTCTGCGGCATGCCAGCTGCCTGTTCGAGCCCTCTCTCGGCATTCTGCTTTGCACCTCTCGAACTGAGCTTCAGTTTCTACCTGGGCTGAGGGCTTATTCTTTTGTTTCTGATAATGCGTCGGGATATACAACTCGGCGCGGGCGGGACGGCGGATACAGCCGACACGACCCCATTGCACAAGCCTGTCTGGCAGCATCACCGTACGCCATGGCGGGCTGGGGCCACACGGAAAAGTTGGCTGTACGGGAGGACACATGGACTGGTTTTGAAGGAAACAAAACAAAGGAGGTTGAGGGTGGCGATACTTTGATGCGGCTCAGATGTGGTGAGCGGATCATTCCACCAAGAGATGGAGAAGTCAGGAACGGAGGAGGCCATTGCTACGGCTGACGGCCCAAACGTTGTTTGGGGTCGTTGGATGAACTGGCCGGCCAAGTACCGGTTTCAATGATGTATGTTTCCATTACGAAGTGACCAAGTATAATGCAGGTTTCACTGTGTCACCAGTCCTGTTCCCTCGTCGTCGGTTGTAAACGTGATAAGCAAAACAAGCCATTCGGGGAGACAATGCCGTTGACAATTCGGCGAGGGGTTAGAAAACTATGTAGTCAGTCGCCTCTGCTGTTGTGTATTGTCATCATGGTGTGGAAGAACAAAGTGAGTGTGACTAGGTGATGTATCCCCTCAAACGCCTCAACCTTCAATTTGTGACAACTGTACAACGCATAAATCAATGGCAATTCATACCGGCAGCATCTATTTGCTAGCCATGGACTTCCTGCGGTTCTTTCCCGGTCGCTGAGCCTTGGGCTTACCAACACGCCCAGAGGCGACGCCGCCGCCGCGGCGGTTGTTGAACCCGCTGACGTCGCCAGAGCTGACGGCGTCGCCGGACTTGCCGTGGCGCTTCTTGCCGCCGAAGCCGTACTTGTCGTTCTTCTTCTGCCGCTTGGCGTTGGGCCCGTCGCGGCCGGGGCCTCCGCGACCGCTTCCGCTCTTGCCCTTGCCGGAGTATCCCTTCAGCTCCTCGTCGACAGCGACGTCGAACAGGTCGCCCTCGGTGGCGCCGACGTCGTTGGTGCCGTTTTCTTGGCGCTCTGTGAGGACGGGAATGTCAGCATATATCATTAAGCACGGGTGGGGGTCGGGGGTTGCTCACTCTTCTTGAGGGTCTTGATCTTCTCGAGCGTATCGCGCTTGGCCTTCTGCCTCTCCTGCAGCTTGGCGATCTGGACCTGCTTTCCAAACTTCTTGAGGTCGCGCAGCTTGCGGGCCTCGGCGGCGGCCTTCTTGGCCGTGGCCTCCTCGACGAGCTTGGAGCGGACCTTTTCCATCTGGCCATCGTCCTTGACCATCTCGGCAAAGTAGTCGCCGGGGCGGGTGAAGGGGACGTTCTCCTTGATGAGGAGGGCGCGGCCCTTGCGCGCGGCCTCGAGCGATTGGGACAGGAGGGCCAGCTCGCGCTGGAGGTCGTCGGAGATGTCGGGGATGGCGTCGGCGGTGGGCTTGGAGGAGGAGAGGGACTGGTGTGTCGAGAAGGGGACGGAGGAGCCGGTTTCGATGCGGATGCGCTCCAGCGAGGCGAGCAGGGCGGCTTTGTTGTTGATCGTGAGCTTGGTGTGCGGCACGACGTCCTCGCGATCCTCCTCATCCTCCAGGTCGGAGAGTGGCACATCCTCCTCGTCCTCATCTTCTTCGTCCTCCTCCTCGTCCTCCTCGTCAACCTCGGCAGCGGCGCCCTTCTTGCTCTTGGCGGCGGCAGATTGTTTTGGCGGGTCGTTCTTCGGCCGGATGATCTTCTCCTCCATCTCAATGTCCGAGTCGTCGCTGTCGGTGTCATCAATAGCCTGAAGATCAGGATGCTACACGTCTGTTAGCGCTCGTTGAACCGAGTAGGAACACAGATCCCGCGTACCCTGTGGCCAAGCTCTTCCTCCTCGTCGCCGTCCATCTCTGCGTCGGAGTCGGCGTCGCCAGATTCGTTCAGGGTGGCACCTCCAGTCTCTGCATCGTCGCTGTCGTCGTCCTCGCTGTCTACATGTTCGACACCGTGGTTCTTCTTGGCCTTCTTGGCCGCTTGCTTCGCCTTCAGCTGCCTCTTCAGCTTCTTTTCGCGGAGATCTTTTCCTTGCTCCGCCGCAAGGGCAAGCTTGAGTGCACTTCTGCCCATGTTGATTGTTGTCTGAGGCGGTGGCTGTCGAGAAAACGAGGTGCACCTTCCTGTACTGAAGCTTTAGTCGTGCGCGCCGTGGGGACTAGATGCCCGTCAAAATTTCAGCGTTTGGCCGGGCGCCGAACTTTTTCTGCCGAGTGGTGCTGAATGAGGCAGGTGGTCGGCATATCTGGTGGGGCTGTCGCTGTGGCGGGGACCGATAAGACGACACTGAGTTCGTAGCAGTGTCGCGATCAAGTCCACTGTGAACTGAGTAGGTGACTCGGTCACTTTGGTCTCCCCTTGGAGAGGGGCTCTCATGCTGCTGGATGTAGAGAAAAGGAATGATCTTATGGATATGTCGCGTCAATATTAATATGAAATAGCGACCTGTCAAAACATCTAAGATGACTGATTGCAGAAGGGGGCGTGGCTGAGGGTCCGAGACTGGCGCGGTGATGAGTGCTGTTTTGGGGAGGTTTGAGAACACAGCCTCCCCGTGGCGCAATGGTAGCGCGCAAGACTTCTAATCTTGAGGCTGCGGGTTCGAGTCCCGCCGGGGAGTCATGTTCATTTTTGCCATTCTAACTCCGAGATCCCCTTACATGAATCCTTTAGGGGGCGCCGTCAAAACCGCAATGTTTGAATTCGTCGCTCATGCTTAGCAACCGGATATGCCATGGTTGCGAAGCTCCATGTTGTGTGGGCACACCAACTAACATCACTTTTGGAACCCGAAGGTGTAGATCCTCTCCCACAGGCCCATTCTTTGCCAGCCACTGGCTTCGGATGAGGGCTTGTGTACAAGGGCTGCTTGTTTCTGTAATGATGTCTCCCAGGATTTCGAAGAAGAATCAGTCTGATACCCGTTATTGATCAAGGTGCCAGCAAATGAGTTGGCGCGGAAAAGGGGGGCTCAATTTGAAGTACGGCTTCTAGCACACTGCGTTTGCCTCTGGCGGCCGGAGGCCCGATGCAAATAGAAAGGCCGCTGTCATGTTAAGAGGCCAAAGAGCTAGGTGTATTCCCACGGCCAGTAGTAAAAACATGTCTCCAATTCCAACGATGAAATTCATGGAGAGTGCCTTCAGCGCTACGCACGGCTCTCCCGCAAGGTAAAATCTACTGCTGCTTCTAGCCCTCTATCATGTCGAGTATGCATCGCCGGTTTCCACGCCTTGACAGCTCGCCATGCCAGTCGCCCACAGAGACGATATGTAGGAAAGATAAAATGCAAGGTGTGCAGTGTTTCCCCCCGCAGAAGAGTAAGACAGACGAGCTCCATAAGGAGCTCATGTTCTAGAGTCTATGCCAGAAAACCAAAACTCAAGACTCGCATATGTACGCTGGTGGATGGACCCCCCTGACCCAACTCAGTTCGCCTTGGCACCTGATTGCATAAAGGCCGGAAGCGTCTTCCATGTTTCCTGGTTGGGCAGCTTGACCTTTCCAAAGTCCTCATCAATGTCCAGAATGATCTTGAGAGCATTGCGGGAGCGGGCAAAGGGGCTTGTGTCGAGCTTCTCCTTCAGCGACTCGATGGCGCCAGTCGACACCGCAGAGGATTCGGGCTTGGTGCCGGGGTAGGGAAGGGCGGTTTGCATCACCTCGTACGCGGCCAGTGTGAAACCGAACTGCGGCGAGGACCGCATGATACGGGCCGGGCCGCCCTTGAAGAAGGCCCTGAAGCCCTCCTCCTTGTAAATGGTCTTCGCGGCGTGTCGCAAGCCTGTGTATGTAGCCTCACCCTTGCGCGCCTCAACCTGAAGACGTGTCTTGATCACGTCACAAGGTGTCGTCAGGTAGGCTGCCGGCATACCGGCAATCGCGCCCGCCGTAAGCAGCTGAACAACGCCCAGCTTCTTGGTCGACGACTCTCCGAAAACGTCCTTCTTCAAATGGTTGTACGCGGGGAAGTAAATGGCCGAGAAAGGAACGTCTCGCAGCAGGCATGCCGAAGCGCCCTTGTAGAGGCCAACGAGACCCAGGTTGCGCACAATCCACATGGCGGACCGCTTGGGGGCGCTTTCAACTGTCTTGGCGACCTCGCCTTGGACCTGCAACCGGATCTTGACGATCTCCAGGGGGTTGGTGAAGACCTAGTGCGCGAACATATATGTTAGAAATTGATTGTCTCTTGACCGCACATTGCCTGGTACGGGCTGTCCTCAAACAAATAAACTGAGGAAGAGGGTATTACTTACGACCTGGCACGCGCCTGCCATGCCACCGGCGAAGATCTCAGCGGGCAGGGCAATGTTACCCGTCGCCTTGTCGGTAAAGTGCTTGCGGACAAGGTCGTTGACAGTAAGCTTGATGGCCTTTTCCGGAGCCACGCCGACGAGCTGAGGCAGGACGCCGGAGTACAGGCCGCGGGGGCCTTCGTTCCGCCACACCTTCTGGAAACAGTCCAACGAGTTCTTGTACAAACGTTCACCCGGCCTAGCGCTTCGCTGGTTCTGGAGGCGGGTCTTGACCAGGTCAATGGGATAGACCATGAAGGCACCGAAGGCGCCGGCAACACTGCCCAGGACGAAGTTGTAGGTGGACAGCATAACCTGCTGCAGGGCCGCCTTGGATGTGGAGGCGGGATGCAGCCGCTTCTGATCGGCATCATCGTCTGAGTCGAACATCCGGTTCCTCCAAGATGGGTCCAGGACTTTGGCAAAGTCAGAGAGGCCCAGGCGGCCGCTGGGTTCGTTGAGACTGGCAAAGTGGAACAGAATGTCGGCCTCCATGGGCGTGAAGAGGGAGAACCGAGTGATCTTGGCAGCCTGGTGAAGGAACTCGGCTCGTGTGATCTTGCCGTCGGAGCTCTTCGCGCAAGCGCGGCGAACAATCAATTCCACCAAGTCCATCTCCTTGATCATGTTCTGGAAAGCTCGGACATTGGCGTACGAGACTTTGCTGCTGGTAGAGATGTTGCAGAGGGAGCTGAGGTTCTGCAGCAGGTGGTCGGACAGCTTATGCTTGGAGGTCTCGAGAATGATGCGCTCGAAATCCTCGGGGTCGATGAAGCCATCGCCGTCCTTGTCGAACAGCTGGAAAGCCTGGCGGATGCGCTCGCCTTGCAGACCGCGCAACATCTGCGAGAACTGGGCATAGTCCATGTGGTGCCTCTTCTTCTTGTGTCCAATGTACAGCTTGGCCCACTCGCACTCCCAGTCGAAGGGAATGCTCTCTGTCCCCTTGTTCAGCTCGTAAAGCTGCCGGAAGTCGTCATACCGAACACTGCCGGTGCGATCGACGTCGAAGAGGCGGAATGCGATTTCGTACTCGGCGTCAGGCTTCATCAGGAGGTTCTCGAAGGCGGCCCATTCGGAAAGGTTAATGCGCCCAGAGCCCTTGCGGTCGGCCACGCGGAAGAGGATACCGTACTGCTCGCGCTTGATCTTGTGCTGCGGGTTGCACGGGACAGGTCAGCGCAGCTCGCGGCTGGAAGGCTTGCGGCTGTTGGGGCTCGAGGTACTCACGTAGTCCTCTGTCAGGGGCGCGACGGCGTTGATGAACTGTTCCTCTCCCAGAAACAGATCTCCTGACGCGGCATCTTGAATGGCGTTCTGGTTGAATCTGGCCCGGGTCTGGGTAGAGAGTTGGACCGGCTCCTCAGCGCCAATGAGTGTCTCCTTGACGGCCTCCTTGACGGCCGTTGCCTTGCTCATCGTGGGCAACAAGAGGCGCTAATTCGGTCGCACTCGTTGGGCTAGCAAAACGGTTTGCGAGCGAAAGGTGGCGGTCGAGTTTTGGGGTGGGACGGTAACGGTCGAGGAGCGGGACTGGCGATTCGTCTCTGTCGTCGTGGGGAGAAAGAGCCGCGTCTGAATAGAGAGCCGGGCACGTTATGCGACGAGACTCGAATACCGATCAATTGGTGAGAAGACCCAGCCTGCGATGGGACCTTCTGCCGCGGGAGGCTGGCGCGAGACGTCGAGGTCGTGACTTGGATACTAAGGTAGTCACAAGACTTCCGCCGGGTGTGACCGAAGGATCCGAAAGGCAAGTTTCTACGAGAAGGAATGTATGAACCACGAGCGATTGGACAGGCAAGAGATGATGTTCGAGCAGGCGGCACGAACAGATCAGGGAAGCCGGACTGGTAGGTATGGGCTGAGGGCCTGAGTCAAAAGGCGGCTGTCTGTTCCGGTCGGCGAAAGGTCCCTTTTTTTTTTCTTCCTTCGTGGCGGCGCCAGCCAGCCGACCAGGTACCTAAGTTCAGACGGGATGACAGGCACAGGCTCCCGGTCGGCTGGTCGTTCGATCCCGGGACACCGCTTTTACCCCGAGGCCAAATACAGCAGGGCATAAATTATAGCAGCAACTAGTCAAGTATGTTATAGTTGTTCCTCAGCTATCTATTTTTCTTACTACTCAAACTAGTTTACTAGACTCCTACTAGTAAATAAATAAGATAAATTAAAAATTACTAAATAGGGACAATAATGATTTTATCTAATTATCAGAGCAAAATTAGCACTCAAAATATATCCATTACTACTTCTATTTTGTGTACTCTACGTACTAATCTTTTAGAAATACTCTTAGTACAGTACTCCCGTACTTGTAGTTTTGTGTACGTTGGAGAGCCCGATCTCGGCCAATGGGCGGGGCATTGGGGCCCTTGACACCTGCATCGCGGGGGCACCGATCTTGTGCATCGGAGCGGCAGTTAACATTGCGTTTACCTAGGTACCGTGCCCAGGCACGGTTCAAGGCAGTCCTCTGTGTCACTCAGCGCTGACAGTGCAAGTGTCAGACAACTTGGCCGAACTGGACATATATCGCCACACATCAGCATTGTGTCACCGGCCCGGCTAGAAACAGACTTCGCATCTCCAGCTTGCATTTCAGTGCCCACGATGCTGCATCACATACTCCATAATTGCCCAGCTGACGTCGGTCGCCAACGACCACGGGTCTGTCACCGCACCGTCTTGCTTGGTTCAATGCCGACTCTCGGACCCTCGGCATCTTCGATCATCACGTGTGTCTGTCCGAGCCGCTTCCCGCGCCAATCACTGCACTGGAAACCCCTGTCGACGGGCTACCACGAGTTACGTAAACTTCAACACTCTCTCTGCACACTCCAAAGAATACATCAACTAAAGTTAACTACCTGTATTACTGTTAAACCATGCTAAACTATTAGATCATTGAATAATAGCCTCAAACTAAGAAAGTGATGAAATATATTCTACTTAAGAATTATGACTAAGATGCAGAAACTATTTCTTGCTGGATAGTATGTGCACCAAGAGGCCTGGGAGTCACTCCGCAGTCGCTGCGACTAGGCCGTACTTGGCCCCACCGAAGCCGCAGGCAAGGATTTCTGGGTATCGCAGTCACAGTCACATCTAAAGATGATTTGACATCGACACCCGCAGCACATCACCAATTCGACTCATCCTCACAATCTCAGGTCAATCGGTCTCCTACCTGCCGGCCTCATGTTGTCTGCTACTTCCGGGGCAATGCGCCTCGGCGCTCGCCGGGTTGCTCCCCGCGCCGCTGCCTTCACGGCCACTCCGATGCCCAAGTGCTCCTCCAACCGCCAGACGATAAACATTG